CGGCGCCAACTCTGGTCACTGCTTCAGTCGTACAAAAAGGATCGCGTGATTATCTTAAGCACACACTTCATGGACGAGGCGGACGTGTTGGCCGACCGCAAGGCTATCGTGTCCAACGGGCGGCTGAGATGTGTGGGCACATCTCTGTTCCTGAAGAAACGGTTCGGTATTGGCTATCATTTGGCGGTTGATATCAGGCCCGGCACTGATGTCGATACCGTGAACCACTTGATTGTTGCCAACATCAGTAACGCCCGGTTGGAGCGCTTCACCGCATCCGAAGTCTTTTATATACTGCCGCCGACCGAAACCCAACTCTTCCCGCGACTCTTCGACGCGTTGGAGAGGAATATCGCCGAAGAGAACAATTTTATTCAAAGTTTCGGCATTTCGATGACCTCTTTGGAGGAAGTGTTCCTCAAATTGGGCGAAGAGATCCACGACGAGAGTCAAAACACTCATAAACAGTACACAACCGACGACTCGGTGCGACCCAGCCTTCGGCTCGAGTCCCTCATCTCCGACGAAAGTGACTTAAAGCCATCGTTTTGGCAGTCATTCAAAGCCTTCCTATACTTACGTCTACTGATATTCATCCGCAATCCTATGCACGCCATACCAATCATTGTCCTCCCAGTCATTATCATAATCATCTCGTACTTCTTGGTCCGCACGTCTAGTGTTAAGGACTTGAGTCCAACGCCGATCCTATTGAAGCCATCCGTGTATACGACCAGAGCTTTACTTTACAAAAACGCCACAAACATTGATGTGAAGAAGTTTACCGAATTAGTTGACCGATTGGGTGCCACCGCGCGGTCAGTGGACAACTTCAGCATGAAGTCAGTGGCCGATAGCTATATGGCCGCTAAGATCGATACTTTAGACAAACCAATGGAGCTATTATTTAATGACACGTTCACTCATTCGCTGCCAATACTAATAAATCTGATGTCAAATGTCTTGTATTATACTCAGGGATCGGCGAAACCGATCCAAAGTCCGATCAATACTTATAATCATCCGTTCCCTCAGACCGACGAAGAATCTGTTTTGTACTCATTTGACGGCAAAGTATTTACTTATTGTATATTAATGGCTATTATGTTGGGAACCATTCCGCCCACCATTTCTGTTGAAGTGGTTGAAGACAGAGAAGTATTCAATTGATATAATGCTTGCGTGTCATTGACTGAAGAAGTAAAACATTATGTTTTGTTATTGTTTTAGACAAAGATAAAGAATTTGTTACGAGTTTGCGGCCTAACTCTGCGCCAGTATTGGTTCACGACATTAGTCTGTCATATGATTATGTTCTTAATATCAGTGCTTCTCATACTAATCATAACCGTATGGATAGTGAAGATTGAGTTCCTGCAGGACTCGGAGGCCGTGGGCTGTGTCTTCATTTTGTTCATACTATTCATTCCGTCGTCACTCATCACGTGTTATGTTTGGTCTCATTTGTTCAACAAGAAGGAGACGGCGCGCGGTATTTTGCCCCTACTTTGTTACCTGGTTAGTTATTCACACCACCGAGTGTGTTTTAATTGAATCTAGATTAATGGTTACTTTTACTGATTAGCCAGGTATGATCATGGTGATGGTGGTGGCATTGGTGTCGCCCAACAACGCAGACACCGGCAAACTATTGCATTATGTGTTTTGCTTTCTAACCCCGTTTTACGTACCGCAGGGCGCACTCCTATACGTTGCCATTGTATGTATTTTATTAAATTTTAAAAATTAAATGAATTAATGTCTATTAATGTCTGTTATTTGTTATAGACATCCAATTTAATAAAGATCTCATCGGTGGCGGGCATTCCGAGGGTCTCTTTCTTTGATTGGAATCAAAATATAGTCATTTGTTTCATTGCGGTAATTATTTTTGCCGATAATTTGTAATTATCTTTACTAATGATATGAAACTTTATGATTAGCTTTTGTTTCATTTGATATTATACTCAATATTGTTAACAATTGTGGATAAACTGAAATCTGGCGAAAGTATGTCGAGTGCGTTGGGGTTCGACAGACGACCGGCCCATACAATGTCTATGCCGTCCGAACTCGAGGACGAAGACGTTCGCCACGAGAGGGTTGAGGTCCAGAAGTTTATGACTGATAGCCACCCGAATAAGGTTTGTCTACAACACATCCATCACGTGGTAAACCAGTCATTACAACTATTTTTTTTTACCCCGATTTGATTCACAGCAACCAATAGTAGTGTTGAATGAATTGCATAAGAAATACTCGACACCTAATCCTTACGCGTGTCTCAAGAAAGACAAGAAACGGGCGAAGACTGCCGTTCAGAACATGAGTTTACTGCTAGAATCGGGTCATGTGTTCGGACTGTTGGGTCCGAACGGCGCCGGAAAGACGACGACAATGAAGATTATGATTTGCGAAGAGATCCAAACGGAGGGAACGGTTCTGATTAGTGGCCACAGAGTGAAGGCATCCGATTCTCATGTATTCAAACTCATCGGCTATTGTCCACAACACGACGCCCTCTGGAAAGAGATCACTGTTAGGGAACACATGGAACTGATAGCCGCCATACGAGGCATTCCTCGAGATCGCATCAAAAGGATTTGCGATAAGTATGCGATGAATATTAGACATTGAAGTAAATGTTTATTAAAGTTATTAATTGTTTTAAACTATAGTTATATCGAAGACTTGAGAATTAGCGAACATTCGGCCAAAAAGACTCAGGAGTTGTCCGGAGGAACGAAACGCAAAGTATGTCATTATCTATAAGTCATAATGAGTTTGAATTTAATTGTTTTATCGCTTATTATAGTTGTGTTATTTGATGGCACTGTTGGGCCGCTCATCACTGGTCCTATTGGACGAGCCCTCGACGGGAATGGATCCAAAAGGTATGTCTAAAAGCAAATGTTTGTCCCAAATATGACACAACTATAACATTATCTTTGGGTTTAATAGCGAAGAGATTCTTATGGCAAACAATTCTGTCTGCGTTTGAACGCAACACAAACCGATCGGCGGTATTGACCACCCATTCGATGGAAGAGGCGGACGCCCTCTGCACACGACTGGCGATTATGATCAAAGGTGTGATGCGTTGCATCGGTTCCGTACAGCACCTGAAGAATAAATACGGCGCCGGATATGTGTTGGAGATTAAGTGGACACAAACGCCAGACAACGCCGGCTTCGGTCCCAAACTGAAGCACACGATTGAGTCGTTCTTTGCGAACAACGTTTCGGTGAAAGAGGAGTACAACAATCGACTCGCTTTTGATATTCCTCAGCAGTCCATACAATCGTTGTCTAAGATATTTAGCTTTTTGGAGGATTTGCGGCAAACAATGGCAGACATCGAAGAGTATAGCTTTAGTCAGAAAACAATTGAACAGATTTTCATTGATTTTGCTAAACAGCAAGAGTTTGATCAATAGTTTCTAGTCTTTTGCCGCAAATTACATGAAATATATATACTTTTTGTGGTATTTTTGATATTTTTGTTGTTATTTTTTGTTATTTCTAAACATTTTTTAAATTATTTATAAGTTATTTAATGAAAGATTATTTTGCAATAAATGTTTATCACTTTTAAAAACACATTTTATTTTAAAGAAAAGACTATTTTTAATCACAAGTTATCACAAGAATTGGGTTTCAATTGCAATCAAATCTAAAGTTATATAAAGTTTTGTAATGTTATTAAAATTATTGAAATTCAAGTTATATATAAAACGTTTTAAAAAAGGATTTATTTGATCACTAAATCATTGATTGATTGTTAAATGTGTGGACAATATAATTATGTTTCAGTTTAGAAAAAATAGTCTTAAAAACAAAAAACTTAAACATTTAAAGAAATGAATGCGAGAGAGAAAGAGAGAGAGAGAGAGCCGAGGGGTTGCAGACCAGCCGTCACTCTTGGACTCTATGGACTGTTTATAAGCTGAAGAATCTGCGAGAGTGTCATCAGACTTGAGGTGGAGTTGGCTGTGGAGGTAGAGCTGGTGTTCATGTGAGTCATATTCAAGTCGAGTCCCGAATCGGTGTCCTTTGCCTGTGGTT